GGGGAGACAGAAATGAAAGATAGTGAGAATATTTAACTTGGGCAGCTGGATAGATGGTAGTGCCATTTGCTGAGACAGGAAAAAATGCGAGGGCTGGACTGGATCAGGAGAAGATGAGAAGTTTCATCCTAGCCATGTTAAGTTTTAGAAGCTGGACAATAGTTCTATAATACCAGGTAAGAATTTGGCTACAAGAGTTAAGGGTTCATGGGAAATCTACATTTGGGAGTCACCTGCAAATATGTGGGCCTAGTTGATATCACCCAGGGAAACAGTAGGCAGAGAAGAAGCCTAGGATAACCCTGAAACTCACCAATATGTGGAGGACCCCCAACTAGTCTCTGTGGTCTAATAACTGCGGTTGAAAGTTACAGCATGGGTGTAAAATCCCATCTCTACTTTAAAGATGCAGAGAGATGACCACCTGCTCAAGTACACAAGTAGCACTGCAAGAATTCAAGTATGAAGTGGATTCCTCTTATTTGCCTAGTGCTGTGCTGGTTACTACAGGAGACATGAAAGTAGATCAATGCCTCACACATAATGTGAATCCTCACTGCCTCTGTGATACCAGGCAAATAACTTAACTTCTTTAACTCTTGGTTTCCCAGTGTGCAAATTAACTATTGTTGTTTTCATTTTGCAAATTAAATGCCTATTATGTGCTGTGCACTATGCTAAGTGACAGAGAGCAGACAGACTTCTCTACTGACAGTCTAGTGGCAGATACAGACATGTAAACAGGCAATTATGATACAGTGGGATAAGTACTGTGATTATGGCAATACTACCTCCCTCCGTATAGAGTAAGTCAGACCAACCTACGCAGACTTTAAAGTTACACATAATTTCCTTTCTTCCAAACCTATATGTAGTAATAGTCCCTTATGAAATGTTTCTGTTCTTCATAATAGTACCCATTATTTCCATTGGTATAAATAATACATGCAAAACACCTAGCACATAGCCAGTGCTCAATGAATGATAGCATTCATCGTTAGGATGGGTTTTAATCTATCACCATTTCCAACTGGGGGCTCATTTTCCTCTTCCATAAGTTAGGAATAATAATAGCTAGTTCGCAGAGTCGTCATGAGGGCCACATAAGAGATTATAGAGGAAAACATTTCATAAGTGGGAGGGATTTTTATCAAAGTGCTTCATTAGTGAAGTGTGGTTTCATGCTCACTTGCTAAAGTTACCAATCTTAGTACACAAGAAACACTTGGAATTAACCCAGAGGTTCTCATAACACGCACGCCATGCTCAAGGAAACCTTTTAACAGATTCTTGGGGAAATACCATTCTGCACAAGAAAATTGCTTCATCTGGTAGCAGATGAAGCAGTCATGTTTAGAAAGCACCTAATTCCTTTCCCTGGGAACACTGAGACTGCCCATGGAAGGTCTTTGCCCGCCCTCATCCCCCTTCCCTGCCCACATCTGGCTCACACAGCCAAAGGCAACACAATGCAGGAACCTCCTGAGCTGGCTTCTGTTCTGCTTCATGCATGACCAGAGTCCGGACTCAGTGCCTGGAAGGCAGGATTTGCCTCGCTGGAGGTGTGTGCTGTGGATTTACAGCTGTGTGGGCGGCGGGCAGCACCATGGGGAGCTGGAGCTGACAAACAAGCCTTCTAACATCTTTCCGCGGCCTGAGAAAGGACCAGAGCGTCCTATCAACAGAACATAAGTCAGAAGAATCCGAAGGCAGGAGATGAGGCTCCTCAGTTCCTGTACTGATTCTTCAGCTTCAGCAACCCTCAAAGCCACATGGCTGAGCAGGGAACTCAGCTGCTTCCTTCCCCAGAAGTTAGCTTGACTGGAATCAGTTTCCTTGGTGTGTTATTTCATCATGCCTTCAACAAATACTTACTGTGAGTCAACTGTCTACCAGGAACCGTTCTGGACCCTCATCATAAGACAAAGTCTCTGTTTCATAGTTTATGCTTCAGTAAAAAATGTGTGTGTGTGTGTGTGTGTGTGAGAGAGAGAGAGAGAGAGAGAGTATGTGTGTGTGTGCACGTGTACCGGTGTGTGCATGTGTGTGTGCGTGTGTTGGGGAAACAATAAGAGGTATGACGAAAAATAAAGCAAATACAAAAGGAAAGACAGTGACAATGGGGAAACATTATTTTATATGGGATGACCAAGACGTGCTGTCTGAGTAGAAGCCCAAAGGAAGGAAGGGGGGAACCACACAGGAAGAGCACCCTAGGCAGAGGGAACTGCAAAGGTAAAAGGTAGGAGGTGGGTGTGGTCTGAGAATCCGCAAGACGGCAGAGGGCCCATGTAGCTGGAGCAGAACGGGTGGGGGAGAGAGAGACTGATGAAGGTAGAGGTGCTTCACATCTTACAGGGACGGTCAGGAGGCAGAGGTGGGAAAAGGAGATCCTGTGAGTCCTTGCAGGCCACGCAGTCAAGGGTTGGTCCTCTGTGTGAGATGAGGGCTCGCAGCCTCCAGGAGCTGAGGGCTGATGTGAGACATTACTGAAAACTCTCACACAGACTCCTTACAAGGAGATACACTATCGTTCCAACTCCTTTGTATATCTAAAAAAGATAGCAAAAGGAAGTGGTTCAGCTGCAGATGGGGGAAAACAGACTTGGTGGAAGCAACGGAAACAGGGAGGCTAGTGATTAAAGAGGTGATCAAAGTCATCCCCCAGGCAAGGCACTTAAACTCTCTGTGCCCCAATTTGTCATTGTGAACTAACACATGTAAATATATCTGGTACATTTATATATATTTTTTCACTGATCTGACTTCTGTAAGAATCATCTAGTGTTAGAGTTGGAAACTGATAGTTTTTTTTTTCTGTTTTGTTCTAGTTTGCATGTATGAAGGCTTCTCAGTGAAAGTAAAAGTCATGATAGTCCAACTTACAGAGGTAAGATTTTAAGAAGTAGCATATGTAGAATTTTTGGCTAAAATTAATAACTATACTGCCACTTTCATTCTGTAAAAGCAGAAATAATAATGGTACTGGCCTCATTCAGTTGCTATAAGGATAAATGAATTAATATTTGGAAAGTATCTAGACAAGGGCTGAGCATCTTGTAAAGGACCATGTAAGTGTTTATGGGATACAAATTAAAATAAAAGGTAGCTTGGACCAGGGAGCTAGTGTGAGAAGCAATAAAATGTGATCAGATAAAGATAAACTTTGAAAGGAGAACCAACGGGGATTGGCCACAACTGGGTGGCCAGGACTGTTTCAGTATGCCTGGCTCCAGCGATAGAAAGGATGCACATGCCATTTACTGAGACAGGAGTGACAGCAGGAGAGGCAGGTTTGGGGAAATCAATATTTTGGTGTTGGACAAGACAGTTTGAGATGCCTATCGATGTACAAGTGAAGGTGCTAAAAAAGCGGAGGCATCTAAAATTCAAAGAATTCTTTTCTGACTATGAAGAAAAATCATCAGATCCACATAGCATTCAAACAGCCACTCCCTCCTCCCACTCATTTTTAAAAAGATGATGAAGGGGACTACTCCAGGCCATACCGCTACTTAGGTCCCCTTGGGAATCGGTCCCCTTGGGAATCACTCCCAGAGCTGTCAGTCCCCACCGGTGCTCTTGTCATAACATCTCAGGGCTGTTGAGATAAGAAATGCTGTGGAAATCAGACTAGAGACAATGTGCCCTTGTGGTTAAAATGATGGATTCTAGAAGGATCAGACTGTCAGGGTTCAAATGACTCATGGATATCAAATCACCATAACAACACAGTTATCATCACTTGACCATGAAAAAGTCACTTAACTTCTCTGTGTAGTATTGTTTAAAGGCAGGTGACAGTTGTACCCCCCTCCTAGCTGTGGTGAGGACTAACGTGAGTTAATACATGTAAGGTGCCTAGAACATCGTTAAACTACACATACACAGAACTATATGTAAAGTTTTAAAGACTAATGGTGCCGAGAAATGACAGAGAGATTTGTCGATGCCAGCTGAACTCAACTAATTTTTGTGGGTTTTTTTGTTTTGTTTTGTTTTGTTTTTTGGTTTTTCTCCGGTACCGGGAACCAAACTCACGACCTTGCGCTTGCCAGGCAGGCGCTTTGCCGCTGAGCTAAATCCCCAGCCCCTCAACTAATTTTTGAATTCCAGAAGTCCACCCCACATTAGAGCTCACTGTATGAATGAATGAATGAATGAATGAACAAATGAATGAACATTAACATACACATAAAATAGGACAGCTAACTCACCCCAGTTAACATCCCCCAAAATGTCCACAGAAACCAAGCAGGTAAATTCCACCACGACTAGTACTAATTTTTAAAAAACCAAACACCTGTTACAAGTTTCTACAACTGATGACACTTAACAACCCAGTAATCTAAGATACTTAACAACCCAGTAATCCAAGACAAAAGGCGATAAAGATACACAGACCACAGGGCATTGAAACAGGCACAATAAACCGTGATGTGGAGCATAAACCTGGAGCAACTGAGAATTAAATAAAATACTATCTTCCTTTAATATGGGATTCCTAGGGATAAAAACTTAAATTTTTAAGAGGCATGAATTAAAGTTACCCTAAGGCAGAGCAGAACCTTTCCCCTCCCACACACACACAGAGCAGAGATGAAGCCCTGAGAAGCCACATCTTGGCCAGTCTCTTCCATCCATGGGAAGCTTGCCCCAAAATGTAACCATTCATCCAAGGATGGCCTCAGAGAGGAAGATTAGGCGCAATTCCTAAAGGAGATGACATGATGATTCACATGGCGATGGCATCTCTGTAGTTGGCAGAGATCCTCGGAGTATGAAACAGAGCCCAGTTCTGTCTCCCCAGGGCCTTTCTTAGTCTGACCGCTGAGCTGGGAGACAAGCTCAGTTCGTCCCAATGTGACAGCCACGACGGGAAGTGAGATGGGGTCCCGCGCCTGCTGGGTTGATGCAGAGACAAGCGCACCTCCCGCTCCTCCCGGTGTCTGTCTGGGTCCCCGGGGTCCCAGCTTCCCGCCCGCCCCTGCCGTACTCACTCCCACTCCTTGCGCCGGGCCTGCGGGGTGCTGTGCATCTTGTGCGCCTCGTGCGCCTTGATCACGTCCCGCTGCTCGATGAGGCCGCCGCGCCGCCGCTTCATGACCTCCGGGCTCACCGGGAGGAAGGGGCTCGATCCGCCTTCCCAGCCCGGGCCCTCGCCCTCCTGCACAGGGAAGAAGTTGTCGAAGCCGGCGACAGCGCCGCGCGGGGAGGCCGGCAGCATGCCCACCTCGTCCGAGGCGTCGGCCTCGAGCAGGGCGCACTGCTGGGGTCGCCATGCCTCGTCCTCCGGCAGGGCCAGGATGTGGCGGAGGCGGCCAGCGGCCCCGGGCTCAGGGCTCCCGCCCACAGGCGGGCACAAGGCGGGCTCGGGCAGCCTTCGGCCTGGGCTCAGTCCACGCATCTCGGGCACCATCACAGAACATTGCTCTGCCAGGGGAAGGGCGGGCAGAGACAAGGGGTGGGGAGGAGAAGGGGGGCAGGGGTAACGGGCACAGGGAAATAGAGATGAGAAAGAGATTAATGACCTTGATGTCTTGGGTAAGGCTACTCTGGCTTGACCAGTGTTACAGCCTAGCCCTGAACAAGAGACTATCACCGTAGCACCTCAATAAATAATACTGATGCATCCATTTATCTAGAAATGTCTCAAGTTTATCCTTCTTTATGGCTGAGTATGCTCCACTGTATAAAAAATGAACCACTCTTTGTTTTTTTTGTTTGTTTTTTCTCCGGTACCGGGAACCGAACTCACGACCTTGCGCTTGCCAGACAGGCGCTTTTGCCGCTGAGCTAAATCCCCAGCCCCAAAAAATGAACCACTCTTAAATGAAATAAATCGGTTACACGTGTAAATATCACATTGTTTCTCTGGTGTGAGAAACCAGAAATGTCAATGAGGACCAAAGTGTACAATAGGTATTGTGAAATAGGAAGAAACTGTTCAAAAGAAAAGGGAGCTAAGGAGGGAGACAGGGAAAAGGAAGGAAGAAAAAGGAAAAATGTTTTTAAAAAAAGGATACATGGAACCAAAGCTGTGTAAGCAAGGAGGGGAAGAGGGCTTGAAAGGAGGGGAGATGATTGCAGAAAAAAGAGGAATCAAGATACGTACCTCATACACAGGTACAAATTCCTTATGATTAACACCATCATTATATATATCTCAATTGTACCAATTTAGATATATATATATTAAATGTATATATCATATACCATTTAAAAATGATATTGAAATCAATAGTATCTACTGTGGACTGGGCAAGGTACCAGGTGTCAGGTATCAGAATTAAAGCAAAGTAGACTTTATTTTTACCACAAATTTCACAGTGTAATGCAGAAAGCAGATATTAAAGACCAAAATATATGATGCATACTTACATTTAAAAAGTGTATAGGAAAGGACCCTTACATGGAGCTTTCTGGGTGAGGGATGGGAGAGGATTATAGGCAAAAGGAAGACTGTGTGCATGGAGGAGGATTTAGGGAACCCAGAGGCTCTCAAAAGAGTTCGCATGGCAAGCATGAGTTCTTCAGGACGGCTCTGGTGTGAGAGGACCTCACCTTGAAGCTTTTCAAGCTATCTGCCTACCGCTTTCCTCCCAGCCAGGAGCCCAGCTCCTGCATTCCCAGCTTCCTCCCCACTCACACTCCCCAACCGTACCCCTAGTGACCACAAACGTCATACACATGTCCCCTTGGTTCTAAGAAGTGCCACGTGCTCTGTGTGCTCAGAGGAGCCGTGGCATTCAAAAGGCTCAACCCACTCAACCACAGTTTCCTCCCCCACTACACGCTGGGGACCGTGCTGAGCCCCAGGAGTTCTCCTGCCGGAATGCTGCCCTTCACACCTGCCTTCCGGCCCCCTACCTTCCCTGATCTGGACTGCAGTCAGATTGCAAATCACCAAAACAAAGAATATTAAATGGTTAGGGATGTTAATGATCTAACTATATCACTGTGTAGATGAAGCAGATGTCCAAAGAGACAGAGAGACTTGCCCAGTGTCACACTGCCAGTGAAAGTCAAGGTTAGTAGAAAACTCAGGTTTCAAGTCCCAGCTCATAGTTTTCCCTACTAGATTGATCACTCCTTCTCTGCCACATGAAGCAGAAACCGCAGATTACCCTCAATACACTAAGGTAGCTAGCATAAAAGAAAAGACTGATGATAGGATGGTTTCTTATGGTACTGGCTATCAAACACAGGAGTACCCTACCACCGAAATACATTTCCAAACTCCCTTTTGAATTATTTTTTACTTTGAGGCGGAGTCTCAATTGCCAAGATAAGACTGAAACTTGTAATCCTCCTGCTTCAGCTTCCCAAGTGCTAGGATTCCAGGTGGGCTCCATCACACCAGAGCTGATAGGATAATTTTAATGCATATGTGATAAAACTCAGTGTGAACATTAAATAGACCCTGGCTTCACTGGAGAACAATCCCTCTGGCATCTTCCCAGGCCTCCTCTATTTCCAGCATCTGCATTAGTCTTCTCAGCCCTGCCGACAGCGTGCCCCTAGGCCTCAGTGGGGCTGAGAAGCAGGTGCCGGTCAGCACCAGATATCTGGCCCACGGCTTGAGTCAGTGGAGCAGGTGGAGGAAGGGAAAGGTCCAGGCTGAGCTTGGTAGGGAGGAGAAAGAAAGGAAAAAATATATTTCAAATCCTGCCAACAGTTGGGTGGGGCCCTAGAAAGAGTGATTCATGTTCCTCACGTTGTCAATTCTGTCTCAACTCCACTTGATGGGTTTTAAATTTATCCCTCATTCCTACAATGTTTAAATGTCTCTCCCCCACCGCACACATGCACACACCCCTCCCCTGGCTGCTCCCACTCCCTCCAGGCTTCAGCACCTCCAACAACTCCCAGTGCTCTGGGGCTCCACGGCTCGCATCCTCCTCCCCCGGTGCCCCTCCGGCAAAGGCTCTTGGGCCACCAGCTCTCGCCAGGCCACTAGGATCTGGCTCCTCACCTTTGTTTTCTGGCCCGCCCCACCCACTCTCTCTCCTTACTGGATTCCCCTTCTCAGACACTGCCAATGTGAATCACATCATTGCCAAAATTGCAGCAGCAATAATATGCACTGCAGAGCTCTGGTTTCAAGGGAATCAATTTTACGAATATCAAAACATGAAATTATCTCATCTTTCCCTTAAGAATTTCTGTTAAACAACCCTTCTATTATTGATATAAATGTTCATCAGGGGAATCTGTCACCCCCCACTGCTTGCCAAGCTGGCCAGTCCCTAAGTCTAGCTCTCACCAAGCTGAGAGAGCATCTTCTACCTCCAGCGAGTCAGACAAGACAGTCCACATCTTCCAGGGAATCCACCTATACTCAGCTCTCCTACTCCCAGCCCTCAAATTCTGGCATCCTTGAGTTTCTTGAGATGAAGGAGTCTGTTTTACTGATGTGTCTGTGTCCAGCACCTAGTTCTGAGTTCAACACATAATAGGTGCTTTGGTGGTTATTAGTTCTGTTTGCAAAATATTCTGGTTATTCCTCCATAGACTAGGCACACAGTAGGATGCACTTCCTTGATGGAGACCACTATGAAGCAGACCTGAGCAGGACTTAAATTAATGAATTGGCTTTTCATGTTCACTTGTGAATCTGTCCAAGGCCTAGGCTCCTTGTCTGGAAATGGCAGACTCATAGTAAGTGAACCTCTGTGAGTCACTAATCCCTACTAAAACCTGTAGTGGTGATGAAGCCAGAAAGCCTCAAAGGACAAGACAAGATCACAGCCAAGGACACCTGGATCAGATCTCAACTAGATAAAGACTATAGCCTCAGTCATATCAGTCCTGGGTGGATTAATTTAATACCTTACTTGGTGAAGTCCTTGAGTGATTCTGCCCTTTTTGAGTATACTCCCCCTTCTTCTGATAACCAAATAAATATGGGCCACCGAGAGAAGATTTTGATCTTAGGCCTAAGAGAATTTTGAATTTTGTGAGAGGGCTCTGATCCTCCTGGAGCCCTGAAATCATTCCATTTGCCTCTTTTTATTTACCCTTCACCATACACTTGTTCAGGAGATTGCAGACCTGATCAGCCCGCAATAACTAAGGGATATTATTAACGCAATACTTCCTGTCCTCTAGTGACTAGGTGGGGTTGTGTGATGGCTCTGGCCTGGCCTGTGATTTGTGAGTGGAAGTGACATGTCATTTTAAGGCTAAGCATTTAAATGTCAATACAAGACCTAGGGCAGAGACTGGTAAACTCACCCCATAAAGGCCCAGAGAGTAAATATTTGAGGTCTTGCAGACCATATAGTCTCTGCTTCAACTATTCAACTCTGCCATTGTAGGGAGACAACAGGCCAGCAATATGTAAATGAATGGGCATGCCTGTGTTTTTATAAAATTTTATTCCTAAAGTTTTGTACACTTTGGTCTTTCAACTTGTCTCTTAAGCTCCATCACTGTCCTTCAGCCTGAGACCACGGAGACAGATTCTATGGAGCAGCAGGCAAATACAGAGAACAGAGACCCACAAAACAAAATCTAGGGTAGAGCTACCACGTGAAAAGTTTTCTGAGGGCCAAGTGGTTGTGCTGCAGCCCTCACACTGTTGTCTAATGGAAGGAGAACAGCTTTGCCACTCTGAGATACCAGCTAGAGGTGAAGCTAATGAGCACCTATCTAACTCCCTAACCCTTGCTTTCACCCACCTCTCTTCTTAGTCTTCATTGCCATGGTTCATTAGTGAGCTAAGAGGCTATGACTTTAAAGTACGGAAATGCTGAGGAGGAAGAGGGCTTAGTGCAGCCCAGAAGCCCCCCAAAGTTTCTTCCCTTGCTTGTGAGGGCACAGTTGGGTGGCAAAGTAAGAGCTCTCCTCCTCCACCCCACACAAGTGTCCTGCACTGTGAAAGACACTTAAACTGGTGGTTGTGGTTCTGCCTGGCCTGATATTGTCTCTCCTCTTGCCTTTCAGATGGAAGTCAAGAGTTTCATTCACAAAAGAATATTACGTCCTTTGCACTATCTTTCCCTTTATATACTATCACAAGTTTTCATTTTTATTCATTGATGTGTGATTGCTTTAGAGAAATGATGATGATCCTTTTAGAGCTTTCAATGGTACAAACAGCCTGCTGAGGCACGCGTGTGGTAGGTTCGCAATGAGCGCTTTAGAGATAGTGGCTCATGTACCCCCCTGGCTTATCTGTGCCTCTCAGGCCCTGCAGGTGAGCCTACCACAACGAGGACATTCATCCACCTCTCCCTGGGCTCAGGCCCACCCCACCCCCACTCTTCTACCACTTGCATTCTGGTTCATCTAGAAATCTGCATCCTCCAACCACCTCGTGAGAAATGAATATACCAGGAGTCAAGAACCTCACACTCTTGTGAATTATTGTCCTCAGACTCTGAAAGTTTTGTGTTCAGCAAAGAGGAAGACATCTGCACTCATGCTCT